TAAAGATGATTTAATAGCTATTCTCAAAAAGGTGAAAGGAGTAGGTGAAGAAGCCGTACGCAATACAGCTATGGAAAAGAATCTTTTTAAATCAAAAGAGGTCAAAATATTATATTAAATAAGAATGATGGTACTTTTCTCATAATAGAGGTTAATGGTCCGTACCTCCACTATCCTTGGGAAGAGCCCCACCCCATGTGCCATTAATGATATTGTTTGTTTTGTTAATAAAAAGAAAAAGAGAAGAAAAGGATGTTGGATAGTCCACATGGAGCTTTGGAATTGGTTACTGATGATGATGTTGCGATTTGGGATAGTGGCCCTCCTACATCTAGGCCTCATATGGATGGGGATGGCCCAACTGGAAGCCCAAGTTTGATGTCCATGCGAATGGATGTTAGCTTGGATTGGATAATAATAATAATAATGCTGTTAGCTCAAGATGTTTGGAAGACACCTCTATGGACCAGCCTACTTTTTTGAATTATTCTCTTTCTTCTTTACTAGGCCCAACGTCTGTTAAGTCCAGATCCCTTCTCGGCCCAAAGCCAATAGGCCCAGGTACGTTTCCTTCTCCTATTTCTGCCACTAAGGTTTCAAAAACTTGTCTTTTTACCCCCCAAGATTCTTTTCCTTTCTGTGGTGTATGCGGATAATTATCATATCGCCCGTTGCCAGTTATGGGCTTCTCTTAAGGGTCATAAGCATGTCGTTAAGGACACCCCATGGTTCATCATGGTCGAGGATGTCAATTACAAGGGTTTGTTCTTTACCTGGACTAAAAAACCCCAATGGAACGGGAGGTCTTCTTAAAAAGATTGACCGTGTCTTGGGCAATCTTCATTCCCTTGCTCGTTTCCCTTCTGCTTCTGTTGTATTTCTTCCCTATCGGTCTTCAGATCATAGCTCGGCTGTTCTTACTCTTCCGTCTCGTTCTCCCCGTAAACCCAAACCTTTTAAATTCCCCAATCTCCTTACGTTTAAAGAGTTGTTTCTGAATGTTGTGTCTTCTAATTGGAGCCCTGATCTTACTGGTCGTGWGATGTATAAGATTTCCCAAAATCTTAAAAATCTCAAAGGACCCCTCCGTAAGATGCTGAATGATCAGGGAAATCTTCATTCCAAATTGCTAAGTTACGGCTTGATAGGGATTCGGATAATGGGGACCTCCGAGAGGAGCACTGTGGGTACTTATCTGCCTACAATAGTGTCTGCCTCGATGAGGAGCGGTTCCTGAAGCAAAAAAGCCAAGATCAATTGGCTCCGTGAAAAAGACCGAAATTCTTCCTTCTTTCATAAGTCGGTAAAGAGTCGTATCAGCAAGAATCATATTGATACCATTTAAAATGCTGACGGTCTCTGGGTTTCTAATGATGAGATCCCCCGTCTCTTTGTCTCTCACTTCGAAAACTTCTTCGGTACTACTCATCCCTCCCTTCCTATTCATAATCCTGCCTTCCTCTTCACCAGAAAGATTAGTGCCAATCAAGCCGCCATGATGCTTAAGCCTATTACTGACTCCGAGATCAAGCAGACCCTTTTCCAGATAGGAGATGATAAAGCTCCAGGCCTAGATGGTTTCACTTCTAAGTTTTTCAAAGCTGCTTGGAGTATTGTTGGCAGGGATGTGTGCTCCGCAGTCCGTGAATTCTTCATGAATGGTGAGATCTTAAAGTCTATTAATAGCACTATTCTGGCCCTCATCCCCAAAACGGATGCCCCGTCCCGTGTCATTGATTTTCGGCCTATTGCTTGCTGCAATATCATTTATAAATCATTAGCAAGATCATAGCTGACCGTATAAAATATCATCTTTCTTCTCTGGTTGACTTCAACCAGTCTGCCTTTATCCCTGGTCGGCTCATTACTGATAATATTCTTCTTGTTCAGGAGCTCATGCGCGACTATCATAAGCAACGCCCCCCCCCCCGGCTGTGTTAAAGTTGATATCCAAAAGGCTTATGATACCGTTGATTGGCATTTTTTCCTTCGCACTGCCCTCTTCGGCTATGGTTTTCCCCTTACCATAATTAAATGGATTATGTCATGTGTTTCCACGGCCTCTTACTCGGTCAGTATAATTGGAAACCTCCATGGCTATTTCAAGAGAGGACGTGGCCTTAGGCAGGGTGATCCTCTTTCCCCTTATCTCTTCACCCTGGTCATGGAAGTCCTCAACCTCTTGACCAAAAGAAAAATTCGTGAAACGGGCACCTTTTCCTATCACCAGAATTGTGAGGAGCAAAAGATCACCCATCTGTGCTTTGCTGATGATTTCCTCATTTTCTGTCATGGTGATAGTGACTCTGCCTGGATCATAAAGGATTCCCTTGATGAGTTTTCGAGTGTGTCTGGTCTCTTTCCGAGTCCGGCCAAATGCGAGGCCTTCTATTGTAATATTGGCCAGCACACCAAGGAGTCCATTCAATCCATCACCCAATTTCCGGAGGGTTCCCTCCCGGTGCGTTATCTAGGGGTCCCTCTCATTACCACCCGCCTCTATCATAGGGATTGTAAGGGCCTTATTGACAAGGTCAATTCCAGGCTTAATGACTGGAAGAATAAGTCCCTATCGTTTGCTGGTAGACTGCAGCTCATTCTCTCGATCTTGTCCTCCATGCAGATCTATCGGGCCTCTATTTTTGTGCTTCCGATATCCATATCCAAAGAGATTGAGAAGCTCATGCGGGGCTTTCTTTGGTGCCACGGTGAGCTAAAAAGGGGGAAAGCAAAGGTCTCCTGGAAGACTGTCTGCCTCTCCAAATCTCAAGGCGGGATGGGTATAAAAAGCTTTGCCAGCTGGAATATAGCCGTCATGGCCTCCCACACATGGCGAATCCTTACCAATAGGGATTCGCTCTGGGTTAAATGGATCCACTCCTACATGCTGAAAAATCGTAACTTCTAGGCTGCCCCGATACGCAGTGATGTTGGTTGGGGCTGGAGGAAGATCCTTGGTATGAGGGAAAAGATAAGAGACTTCATTGTCTCCCAGATTGGTGATGGCGCTTCCACGTCTGCCTGGTATGATAACTGGCATCCGGCTGGCCCTCTCTACCGGCATATCTCTTCTCGTAGTATTCTCAACTCTAATCTCTCTCTCTGCTTCTGTCAGAGATATTGTTTTCCAGGGCAATTGGACGTTTCAAAGAGTACAAGTTAAGGTTGATCAAGTTACTGAGACAATTTTAAGATTATATGATTGTTTTAAGTTTAATTATATATGATTCAATGAATCAAGATTTATACATCTGAGGTATGGATAGAAAAAAGATTATATTTTTGATTTTTTTAAAAGATTGTGATTTTAGAATATATATATATATATATATATATATATAAATATAAAAATATATATATATATATATATATTAAAGTGCTAGAAGGGTACTCGTACAATGCATCGAGATACAATTATGTTTTATTCCTTTTTATGTCGATATAATACGATTTTATGTGGTTTTGAGAAAACGATAATGTTTTTATTTTTGAATAAAATATAAATTTAAAAATATTATAAAATTTTAAAAAAAATATATCGATATAGTATCAAATTAATCTTTCTAAAAGTTCTTGTGTTTGGTCCTCATGTCATTTTGCTATATTGACATTGTAATCGACAAGTATTTTTCTTTATTGGCCCACCTTTTGGATATTATAATTGCTAACTTAAAGGAGCATTGCAGTTTAGTTTATGAAACTTAAAACAATTGCTAGAACAAGAAAAAGGTTCCACCGGGTCATGAAAGTTGTATATTGCATGCGCATTCTCTGGCTTAATTAGTATTCTCGATGTTTTTAGGCGAAGGAGGATATATAGTCAAGCAAAATGTGTTAAATGGCATGCCAGATGAGGGCAACCTCTATTAATGCTGGTATATCTAACAATTTTAACGCCTTTACTGTATTTTCTGACTTCTTAGGTGACAGAAACATGGCTTGCTTATGCACCTGTAAAGAACAACACCGAGGATGCTGCAAAGGTACTTATTTTACTCTCGTTGTAGATTACATTTAAAATGAAATGTTTGTCAAATTCATTAAGCAAAGCTTTGCAAGAGGAAAAATGGATTTCAGGTAACTGTATATCTGAAATAAATAACAAATGAAAGGTTAATGAGCATCTGTTTGACGTATGTCTTCTAGTTGCTATTCTTGTGAGGGRTGAAGCTTTTAACCGTACGGACTTCCTMTTTTCTCATTGACAATTGCTTGACRTGAATTGAAGGTACCTAAGGGAAATCCATATCACAGCGCTACTTCTGGAGAAATGGCAATTTATCGAGCAAACAGCATGATTCTAAGAAAGGTCAGCAAAATTTGAACAATTGCTCTGAATTCTTTAACATTCTTGTGCCCCTGCTAGTTTCTTAGTACACTTTACATGGCATGCCACTTAGGGAGTCATTGGACAAGTCTTGGGTTTGCGATTTATCATGGGTTTGAGTGGGTTATCCCCCAATTGAATTTTATTATGGTTCATTGAATAACCACCCCTCCCTGTGAACCAAGTTATCTGAAATTGAATCAGTGTCGGTTTTCTAATGGTTTCCAGTTTCTTATGTGTGTCTCTAGGTAGGTGTGAAGGTAGATGATCCAATTACGCAAGTCTTTGATGGTCAAGAGGTGGAAGTGTGGTCACGTATCGTGTGGAAACCAAAATGGGCAGTCACGTTTGCTGATGTTAAAAGCAAAGTGAGAGGAAACAATTCAGTTTCTCAAAAATCTACATTGGTCATCAAGGGTGGCAACATTCTTATCGAAGACCTCTCATTAGATGGAGCACTTATTGTTGATTCTGTTGATGATGGAGAGGTATGTGAGCATTTTTAACAACTTGTATTAAAGATTAGAATACAAGTTCTGATAAATGCAGCATATATCTTATGGTTTAAAAACAGTGGAGTGGTCATGTTGTATCTTCATATTAAACATCGGTGATATGAATTTGCAGGTGAAAGTGGAAGGTTGTGTTGTAAACAATGGGTGGAGGATTGAAGGCATTGACAAAGATGATTCAACTACTGCTGCATTGCCTGAAGAAGTGAGGATAAGAGGCTTCAAAATAAACAAGATGGATCAGTTGCAGCAATTTTACAGTGAACCTGGAAAATTCTGCTTGAAGCCATAAGGATGTCTTGTATTGATGTAGAATTCTCATAGAATAATATAATAAAATTAGTGTCGAAATCTCATTATTTAACTGTAAAACACAACAAGTGTGGCTTTGCTTTTAGGCCTAAAACCACTATTTTACAGTCACTTTATTCCATTGTGATCCATTTTGGAGAAACCACAAAAGAAACTGTATTTTGTTTTGTTTTGGAATGGATAAGGGCAAGGGTTTTTTTCTCTTTCTCGAAGTTTCAAGATATAATCGTATGTAGGGGTGGCAAAAAATGATCAAACCCATTAATTCAACCTGAATTCAACCCAGAATTAGCAGGTTGAATTAAGATTTTCAACTTATTTAAATAAATGAGTCAACTTGTCTTACCCATTTAAATAAATGGGTTGGGTTGGGTTGAATTTTTTGATCAACCAGTTAAATAACTGGTTGTTTTCAACCTGTTTTCATCCCACTTAAAATATGTAAATTTATTTTATTCTTAATATTATATCTATTTTATTTTTTATTTTGTTTTTTCTTAAATAAATTGGTCCAAGTTTCATGTTGACTCTTCGATTTCAATCTTTCAATAATCAATTCTTCATACGCTTCATTACTAATCAGTATTATGAGTTTCGACGTTTTGCCTTCAACTCTTCAATTTTTCAATCTTCATACGCTTCGATTATCAATCATTTCCCATTCTTTTGAGTTCTACCTTCTCCAATAAAAAATTTGGGTAGGTCCAGACTTTCAGTTTCCGATTTGACGTTGAGGGCTTGAAGCGTTGTTGAACGATATCAAAGTAAGTTCTTTATGATCATGTTTGTTTAGTATTTTGTTGTTAACTTCGTATAGATCATATGAATTTCATGCTTCTCTTTGATTATTTGTTACTTTATAACTATCGAACTTTAGTGATTTCTTTCAAGTTTGAATTTGTTATTTGTGTGGTGTGGCTATCTATTTCTATCACTGTACCTATACCTCAGAGATATTTGCTATCATTCATCTTCATTAAAATAATTATACAAGCTACACATAAGTTGTTTTGTATGCATGGATTACACTTGTTGATGGACTAATGGTCTTAGGAATCTAGGTCTTAGGACTTTTAGGTACAAGAGTGAAATTGGGGTTGATGAAAGTGGAAATCGAGTTACTTAGAATTTAGATTTTTTAAACTTAATTTGAACACATATTTGTCGTAGTTGTGTTTTATTCATACTTTGAACAATTTGATTGTATTTGTGGTTGTATTATGTTTTATTCAAAAGAGTTAAATACTCTAGTTATTTTTTTATTTAAAATTTTAAAATTAAATAGGTCAATCAAGATTCAACCCATTTATTTAACAGATTGGGTTAAGAAACATGTCAATCCGCCCATTAACCCAACAGGTTGGATTGGGTTGAAAAATCAACTCATTTAATTAGATGGGTTGGGTTGAAATTTTCTTCTTGTTTAATAAAAAAATTGAATCCGAACCCAACCTGACCCGTTACGACCCCAAATCTTATATACAGTAAATATAATTAAGCTCACATCTTTCTGGTGAAGGCCAAAAGCATAGATTCTTTGCAGAATAAATAGCAGCAGCTAAGAGCTGATGACATAATGGTTAACAGAAAAAACCGTAAAGGCGTGCGTTTGTGCATAAATCCAAAAACATCAAAACCTAACCACGCAAACATAATCAATAACAAAATAGAGAAAAGTAAAGTCATCTAATCACCATATGCAGCGATCTGATCCATCACATTTCCAACAACTTCTTTAGATTCCCTCAGCAACTTAATACTTCTATTCAGCTTCTCCCGTTTTCCGGCCAAAGCCGGCGATTCCTCCAGCATCCGCTCGATCCCACCACCATGTGGCGCCATCAGCTCAGACACAATCTCCGTCTCGATGTCCCGATTCACCAGATTGTGAATGCTATAAAGCACATGCAGCGCCATACAATCCACCATTCTTTTCAACACAATCTTCCAATACGCAATCATCCTCATCTTCATATCAAAAGCTTGTCTTACCACATCAGCACCATACAATCTCAGATGCCCGACCTCAACCTCATTCAGCCATTCGATTTTGATTTTCACCGGCTTCGAATGATCGATAACGAGCTCCATGAAAGAGTTTTCATGAGCTATCAACTTGTTCCAGATCTCTATATATTGTGGATCACAAGTGTAATCTGTAAGTCTTTCCATCTCAACTAGCTCCATCACTCTGTTAACAGAAGCATCCTTCATCTTCACAATCAGATTATGCGCAGCTCTTCTCATTGATGATTGAAGCATCGGATAATTCTCCAAATGGAAAATCATGACATTTATGAGCACTTGCTCCATGTAACGCCACAATTTTTCAACAAATTCAATGGGCAACGATGAAATCTCGTTTACCTTTTTATTTAAAACTGCGAGAAATGCAGGTCGTGGGAGAAAATTTGGAAGTCCAATCCCTTTGGCTTCTTCCAAGCCCTTAATTTCTTCGATCAGAAAGTGCTCACCGTATTTAATGTCCGCCGTGGTATGCAGTATGGCACAGTAATCACTCAACATTTCTGATAGCCGGGCCGTGCAATGCATCGATTTAACATCTTGGTACTCATCAAACTCTCCTCTCATGAGAACTTTCTTCAAGGATTCTTTCACAGAACTAACAATCCTCATGAAAGCCGTCATAGCTTCTGCAACAGACGTCATCTTCCTTGGTAACTTGTTCAGTTGACCAACATAACCTGCAAGTTTGTCAYTGATMTTTACAACAATGTCCGGGAGACACTTGSAGATGATCGYCGACTGAATCTYCACCAACTTTYCWGCCAARACAGGTATTCCRACCATGGACTTATCAACCAGCGAAAGATAWGGATGACTCTCAAASAGCTTCGCTTCTTTGAWCCKAGCTTCTTCATAAGTCTCTTKCCCGACTCTATTCCTCACACAAATGTAGCCGAGACCAATGTTGACATCATTTCCGGTAACCTTTTCCAAAAGACCTTCAGGATTCTTATCGGCTTTCGTCACAACGGCAAGTGTTCTTTCRCCGGTYTTATCCACTCGTTGAGACATTCGTATCGAWTCACAGGTCGAGAAATCAACAGATGCAGAAAGAACATTCAAAATAATACTTTCCTCCGGCGTAATGTATTCGGTGATGATGGCTGAAACTTGTTCGTAGATATCCTCTGGTTGCCCGTGTACCGGAACTCTGGTTATTCCGGGCAAATCAACCATTGTAAGATCCGGAACACCTTTCTTCTTAACAACCAGAGTCAATGGAGTATGYGAGATTCCTTTTCCATTGCCAGCAATCTCATYGGTTGCAKCAMTGATATCATCTTCGATGTGAGCTTCGTCCGTATGGACCATTTTTTTATGGTACTCCAAGTGGAGTTGCGGATGAGGATCAGGGTGGTGCTGAAGCCTCATGATGAGCGGCACCCTGGTGCAAATACCTTGAGCACGAGGCAGGCTGATTCCAGCGAGTGATTCAAGAACACTTGACTTCCCAGAAGATTGATCACCGACGACAACGATCGTCGGAAGCTGGATTCCCTCTTGCATGACTCCAAGATGACGGAGCTTGTCAACACAGTTGAGTAATGGGCGGATACGGTCGTTGTATGTAGATACAAGGGGCGGATGGTGGTGGTCGAGGATGCCGGAGCCACCCTCGTCAAACACAGAAGAATAGTCATCATCGCCATAAGATGAGGAGCAGGTTATTGTCTTGGTTTCTATCAGRGCCATTGCGAAAAATAGTAGATGAATTGAGAGAAGATGAATGAATGTGGTTGCATATTTATAATAATAATAATAATAATAATAATAATAATAATAATGGATTGAGGCCAGGGTAATTAATTAATTAATAATTATTAATTAATGAATTAAGATGAAGCGCTTGTCTATTTATTTTTGACTCTTCGTAATACATAAAATTGGGAGATGCTCCGATTGACGTCTGAACGTACGTTTCCAAGAGATTAATTTGCGTTAATACCAATCAGTCCCAACATCAACTTCTCATCTAAAATGCACATCTAGGCTCTACCTACCCCCTAACCTTTAATTATTATCATTTCTATACCATAATTTGGAGTAATAAATATCTATACTACCTTATAAACCAGATTTGTTAAAAGTCTTAAAAACAACTTTTAATGCACAAAGTGTTATACATTTATGCACAAAATCTTAAAAACAATTCATAATGCATTAAGTATTATTAGTTTATGCATTTAGTCTTAAAATCTTTTAATCTACAATTAAAATAACATATAGTACAAGTTATCAATGCACATTATTACTTTTTATTTTCATGTTCCCAAGATACTTTTGACACATTTCACTCATGTTTTCACCCTCTCATACCTCTATGTCTTCTCCATATCCCCCAATGTGAGATTCAAAATAATATTCATCACGAGTCATTCATTTATCTCTCATTCAATTGTTTTAAAATTTTTGGTCTCGTTCTCATCTTTTGAATCTTTGCTCTTGGTGTAAATCGAACACATTTGTGGAGTCATGTAAATGTGTTGGATTTTAAATATATTGGATTTTAAATATATTGGATTTTAAACTGTCATACAATTTTTTCCATCGATAGACTGTAATTGGAACTATAGCTCTTATTTATTCAAATTGTATTAATATGTAAAGATCAAATGTAACTTATATCATCGTTAAATATTCTTTAATAAAACCAGTGAAACTTCAAAATCGGTAAAATTCACGGCTTCCACTGTATTGCGCGGGTACACAACTAGTATATATATATATATATATATATACACACACACATACATACATATACACAAATACACACACACACATATATACACACACATGAAGGATCGTGTGAGAAGGAAATTTTTCGTAAGAAAAGATCAAAACCCTTGAGCAATTTTAGGGGTTGTTTGGTAGTTGTTGAATGGTTTTGTGCAGAATGATTAAGTGGTCGGAATGATTAAGAGGCTCCCATTATATATGTAAAACAAAATATAATTGTTTGGTTATTGTTTACAGTGAAATTAGGACGCTG